ATTGATGCATTGTCTGCATAAACAGAGATGTGTCTTCCAGATAATTTAGGGGAGTGAAAGTGTGTATTAAGGAGATGGCCCACTATGGAATTGGTAGAGACGTTGAATAGGAATGGGGCCAATATGCAGCCTTAGTTTAACTTTAACCTTTCTCAGTTCCAATGACAGTGGGGGGATGACATCTTGCTTTGAGTGACGTCCCTTTATGAAACATATATATTTGATGAAGTCAGTCAAGGATGCCTCTAGTTTTTCCCAGAGTTTGGCTTGTGGTGTGGAATCAAAAGTTACTTTGAAATCTATGGAGGCAGCATAAAGGTAGATAGTGTTGCAGGAGTAGTAGTTTTCAATGAGATGTTGGAGGACTAAGCACTGGTCTGTGGTAGCTCATCCTTTCTTTAATTTAGCTGGATTTTTTACAAGTATGTCTCCTTGTTCTAGGTGGTTCTGGAGTTTCTAGAGTGGGAAACCTGCACAAACTTTGCTAATTGCATGGAAGAGGCTGCTCAGTCTATAATTGGCAGCAGCACCCTTTTCCCATTTTTTGTATGTAGGAACAATGATTGGGTGCCCCCAATCCTTGACTACAGGCCCATAGGTGTGAATATTAGTAAAGGGCAAGACCAGGGTGAGGGTACAGAAGCTAAAATTATTTTCAATCATTTCAGGAGGAATTAGGTCTTCTCCCAAGGTCTTCCTTAGTCTTCATTGGCAATCAGAATCTTGATCTCTGTCACTGGTGAAATTTGTTAAAAGGTTTATCTCATAAATAGAAATTCAATCCAAGCTGCAAAAGCCCAGGAAAAAGAAATTAAAACCAATGAAAGAGATGTTTATGTTTCAATGTATAATAATAACTTAATGATAAATGAAACCTAGAAGTTTCTACTGCAGTTTCCAAGATTCCTTTCAGTTCTTGCATTAAAGCTCCTTATTGATGCCTGTGTGATTCTTTCTTTGATTGTGCCATGTAATGTGGGGCTCGACAACTGATAGATCACTCCAAATATCAGGGTTTTTAAACATTATTTACCTAGATTTCTTTTTCTGGATGAAATATGGTTTATGATGATACACCAAATACGGTTCCAAATGTTAATGGGTGGTAGTGTTTATCTAGATCCATTGCAACCTCACCTTCACTATGTTGAAATGATATTGTCTCAAGTGCTTTGGTTAATATCTTGGCCAAGAGAAGGTGGAAGAGATGGAATAGTTGGGCTGTTCCAGGTGATATTATTCCTTACAGGTTAGAACGCAATACATTCAGATGAGCTCTTCATTAACTCTGACCTTTCTTGAGAAAGGAAGATTTTGACTCCATAGCCATTTCCAAAGCATCCTGAATGAGAATCCCCTGGGAAGTCTTCTAAAATAAAAGATAATCCAGAATGCAGAGATGATCTTGATAACTGAATCTTGCAGAGCGCACCTATTACATCTGTGCTTGAAGAATTTCGAGTTTCTGGCTGGTTTCTAGATAAAACCCATTATTGCTCATGAACTATAAATACGATAGTCCAGATCAAGATAACTGAATTGACCCTCAGTTACCTTCGATGAATCCCAGAAGGGTGTGGCTAGCTGACGAGTGCTAAATAGCTTGAAATAGATCTATACTAGTCTCCCTTTATTTCTTTGTCAATAAATATAAATTTAACACAAAAATAGCGTGTTGCAAAAGCAACTGCCTCTGAAGGCTCCTGGACTGGGTCTGAAAGGGGAAAGCAGAAGCAGTATGCTCTGTCCCATATTTTGGTAAACCAGGTTGCCCTGATTTTAAAAAAAAACACTTCACTGTACCTCCTGTAAGTTTTTGAGCCAATGGGCTAAAAGGTGCTAATAAATTACATGCTAGGAGACCTTCCAATAAAGGCATGCATCATCATTTTCACAAATGTACATGAATTTGACATACTGTCATTTCACAGACATGGCACTATTATATTAATATTTACCTTACTCTGTCTTTAGGAGCTGAACGAGCTGCCAAGTACCTCTTTTTTTTTTTTTTACTTAACATTCTGCGTGTTACTTATTCATGCTTGATTTAGTTTTTATTGTGAGTCGATCACTCTTGGATTTATTCATTCATTCAATATCTGCCTCTGGGCCTAGTTACCAGGTTCCCCATTAGAGTCTTTAATTGGTCAGCTTATACCAACTTTATACACAAAAGAGATTTTGAAACCAAGTTTATTTCCACTGCTTTCCCAATTTAAAATTTGATTTAAAACTTGATACTATGTTATTGTATATCTAACTTTTAAGAAATGAGTATGATTTCCCAGTTCTTTAAAACATAGTCTGTATAAGATTAAAGTAACACCATTATTATCATTATTGTTCTTAAGAGATGGTTTCCTGGTGTGGGAAGATGAGCGGCCAATTTCATGATTTATTTGTAGTCTAAAAATTAAGCTTAACCTTGGAAAGGGGACAAATTATAAATGCATTTATAATTACTATAAAGTATTTTTTTATTTCTTTCTGTTCAATAATCATTTTTCTTTTACTTTTGTTTACTTTCTTTTTTCTTTGAATTGGTATTGTTTTTAGTTGTAAAGCTTTGTAAAAAAAAGGTTAAAAACTTAATTAAAAAAAAAGCTAAGCCAATAGGATGAAATGATGAATTGAGGCTAGATCAGATGATCTCATCCACTGTCCATCCCATATAATAAAATGGAACACACACCGAATCAACTTCCCATGTGGTGGTGTAATATTTTATTGGAAGAACAAAGGGAGAACCTTGTTGTGTAATCTGTGCATGTTGAGTTGTGTGAGTTCTAGTCCTGCCTTAGTCATGTAATCCAGCTGGGGGACCTTGGACCACTCCCCCTCTCTCAACCCAACCCACCTTCTTGTTGTGAGAAAATAGGAGGAAGAAGGAATATTGTGCATGTTTGCAACCTTGAATGACTTATAAAGGCAGGATTAAACTATAATATGTAGGTAAGTGAGTAGATACATGTGAGGGAGGGAGGGAGGGAGAGAGAGAGAGAATGAGAATTATATGTTCTATAAGGGTATTATAAATTAACTGGAGAAAATATGCCCCCCAATCAGAAGTGGGATTCACATACCTTCCCTACTTGCTTCACTTGCACACACATCGTCTGCGCATGTGTACCGCCTTCTGCGCATGCACAGTGCTCATGCATCATGTTGGAGCAGATGGGCGGAGCTGCGGCTACTGGTTCTCCCGAACTGGAGACTACCTCTGCTGAAGACTACCTCTGCCCCCATTGCTATGCTAAAAGAGAGAGAGCCTTCCATTACTGGTCATAATAAAATTAGAATTACAAGAATTGAAATTAGAATGACTACATTTGATACAATTTCTTACATTTCAGTGTAAATAAATATGAAAAAATAGTACATGACTGCAGAATTAGTGAGTTCCAATAAATAACAATTCAGCTGAACTGTTTTTATTTTGCTGTTCACCTGATCTACACCCTATCCATCCCCACAAGGAAAGGCTAGACCAACCCTAGAAAAGAATATTTTAGTGGTAGAAGGGCATTAAAATTTTTAACAACAAAAAAAGGCTAAGAAAGCATCGGTTTATATTTAATCCGCCTGGGTTACCACCTCTAACTTACAAATACTACAGAGAAGAGCCAAAAACAACATGGCATAGCATGTGCATACCGTGAGATTGCAATTTATTTTTATGATTGTAATGTTGTTTTTAACACTATTATTATGTAAGTCACCGCAAATTACTTTTGTGACGGAGGCAGCATAGGGATTGATTAAAAACATACAAATCTAACTACACATCTACACACCCTGGAAGTAGATTGTGACTGTCTTGGCACGTCCCATGCAGAGAAGGATTTATGGAATATCTGAGAGGTTTGAATATAATAAGATTTATAGAGAGGAAAGATTAGAGGGGGAACACTGGCCATTTTAGTGATCTTTAGTGGTCAGTGAACTGTTTAAAAATGAAGAGCAAGGAAAATATTTTTTTTAACTCCACCTCCTGCTGCTGCTCTTCAGCCTCAGTCAGTCCTAAGGCCAGTTTAACCAAGCATTAAGCTTTAACTAAAGGACTCTTCCCTTCCTACTATGTCCTATCCTCTCCACCAGAGGTGGGTTGCTGCTGGTTTGGCCCGGTTCAGCCGAACTGGTACTGGAATTCAGGCCTGGATCACAGATACGGCAGCGACCCAAGCCTGACACGCCTCTGAACCGCTTGCCATTTTGAATTTTAGTGTCTGCATGTGCGCAGTTCACTGAAAATTGTTCTGCACATGTGCACAGAACAATTTACATAGAACAGTGCATGCATAGCACATGTCTGGTGCACATGTCCATGCGCAGTGCGTGTTGAGAACCGGCAGTAACGACAGCAGCAATCCACCCTGCTCTCCACATAGGATACATGAACACACTTATGATTGTAGATTGGCTTCCAATTACCATTTTGAGTGAAATGCTTGTGAGCCAGAACAGTTTTTAAAAGCTGAAATTAATCTTTCTCTCAAGTCTGCCATGAGGACTGTCTTGTTTCTTCTATTGACAAGCTTATCTTCCTTCCCTCCCTCCCTCTCTCACTTATTTACTTACTATCTACCTACTTATTTACTATATTTATAGGCTGCCTATATACCCAAATCCAAGATGGCAGCGTGCCTAGACACTGTGGCTTTGAGCTCCTGGTGTCACAGTGGAGTGTATAATGGATTGCAGCAGTGAGGCTAAAACAAATTTCGTTGTATACATGACAATACAATGACAATAAAAGCTATACTATACTACTACTATCTCCCTGTAGAAGCGATTATGACATTCCAGAAGACCGTGATTGTTCAGTATCATCTTTTATTTCAAAGTATTTGCATACTTTTTGCAAACTGTGTGTGTGTGTCTGTGTGTGTGTTGTGTCTGTGTGAAAGAGACAGACAGAGAGATAGAGACAAATCAGAGAAATGTGATATAGCATTCAATAACATTGGTGCCAACTTTTGTGTTGTATTTTCTTTCAGATATTTATAAACAATGAATGGCACAATTCAGCCAGTGGCAAAAAATTTCCTGTCTATAATCCTGCAACAGGAGAGAAAATTTGTGAGGTGGAAGAAGGAGATAAGGTAAACATTTAATCTTTGCTGTGTCATGGATTTCCTTTCCAGACTTTCCTTTCCAGGGTGACTAAAACTGGAACACCTATTTATGTGCATTTCCATATTTAAGCTAACCCATAATTCATCTCCTCAAGTTTCTGAACTAAATATGGCAAAGACACATGCAGAGAGAGGGTTAATACTTGGAAGGCTTCTCAGTCATAAATAAGCTTTCAACAGTACCAACACTTCCATAATTCTGTTGGATGCAAAATGATATCCTAGTTAATCAAACTGATGGTTAATTTGGCTTTTCAAGCAGGTTCTGGACCAAGTTGATTTGTCATCCTGCTTGAGTGGTTGCTGGGATTTTCTTTTTCTGTGCATCTACATGTGGCATTTTGTGTTTCATGGGGTTTGTTAACAGCAACTTTAAGATGTGGGAATTTCAATTTTCAAAATTCTCCAACCAGCATGGGAATTGAAGTCCTCACATCTTAAAAGTTGCCAGGTTTGAAAAAAACAAATCTATTGTACGCTGCCCTAGAATCATTTCTGATTTAATGGCCTTATCAATTAAATAAATTAATACTAACTATTGTGAATAGATTGCTAACAAGCAATCGCTTCCTTCATTCAAGAAGTGAACTTCCCTTCCCATCTCATACTCCCACCAGACAGGACTGCTAAACTTGATAAGTAAAGAAAACCTAAGCACAGCCAAGAAAAGCTAAGACCATTATTACAACTATTGTTTTCTGTTGTTGTTGCTGCTGTTAGTTGTGAAGTCGTGTCCAACCCATCGCGACCCCATAGACAACATTCCTCCAGCCCTTCCTGTCCTCTACCATCTTCTGGAGTCCATTTCAGCTCACGTCTACTGCTTCGATGACTCCATCCAGCCACCTCATTCTCTGTCATCCCCTTCTTCTTTTGCCCTCAGTCTTTCCCAGTATTAGGCTCCCTTCTCATTAGGTGGCCAAAGTATTTGAGTTTCATCTTCAGGATTTGGCCTTCTAAAGAACAGTCAGGATTGATCTCCTCTAGGACTGACCGGTTTGATCGCCTTGCAGTCCTAGGGACTCACAGGAGTCTTTTCCAGCACTATAGCTCAAAGGCGTCAATTCTTTGGTGCTCAGTCTTCCTTATGGTCCAACTTTCACAGCCATACATTGCAACTGGGAAAACTATAGCCTTGACTATATGCACTTTTGTTGGCAGGGTGATGTCTCTGCTTTTTAGTATGCTGTCTAAATTTGCCATAGCTTTCCTTTCCAGGAACAAGCGTCTTTTAATTTCTTGGCTGCAGTCACTATCTATGGTGATCTTTGAGCCCAGGAAAATAAAGTCTGTCACTACCTCCATTTCTTCTCCATCTATTTGCCAGGAATTGAGAGCGCCGGATGCCATGATCTTAGTTTTCTTAATGTTGAGTTTCAAGCCAACTTTTGCACTCTCTTCCTTCACCCACATCAAGAGGCTCTTTAGTTCCTCTTAACTTTCTGCCATTAGAGTGGTATCATCTGCATATCTGAGATCGTTGATATTTATCTCGGCAATCTTAATTCCAATTTTTGATTCATCTAGCCCCACCTTTCTCATGATGTGCTCTGCATATCTGAAGACTGAGCATCACCAGATCTGGGCTGCAGAAATCTGAAACACCATGAGAAGGAGCATAAAGACTTTTGTGAGAAGTTTTTTTGCTGTCGTTTAGTGATGACAGCCCATATATAGTAGCCTCTTTTTTTGCAGCCCATATATAGTAGATTTAGATTTAGATTTATTTTATCTGTATGCTGCCTTCTCCGGGAGGGACTCAGGGTGGCGAACAACTCAAAGGGGGAAAAAGGGGGAACATAGAACACAATACACATAGTTAAAATAGCCAAGAATCACACAACCACACAGGTCGAGCGGGGAGGGGAACTCATCAACCCCAGGCCTGCCGGCAAAGCCAGGTTTTTACGGCTTTTCGGAAGGCCTGGAGAGAGGTGAGGGTCCGAATCCCTGCGGGGAGTTCGTTCCAGAGGGCCGGAGCTGCCACAGAGAAGGCCCTTCCCCGGGTAGTAGCCAGGTGGCATTGGCTGGTAGACGGAACCCGGAGGAGGACGACCCTGTGTGATCTAATGGGTCTTTTGGGAGATAATTGGCAGCAGGCGGTCTCTCAAGTACGAATAGCCTTTCTTAAGTGCACAAAAGTTGTTTTCTTGCTTTTGCTGGATGGATTGGGCAGACAGCTGGAAATGGACATTTTCTTCCTTTGATAGGTGATGTTTAGTGCCCAGGACAATCCCAAAATAAGGATTGTCTTAACAAACAGAGAATGTATGTTTAACTTATCTTTGGTTTTAACCTTGTTTCTAATGCTTAAGGCTAGAGGGAAGAAGGAACCCCTGATAATATAGGAAGGTCCAAATTTGGAAAATCAAATTTATATGCATCTATAAGTCCTGGTTTGATTGCAAAAGTGATTGAAGTCTCAGCAATGGGGCTCCTGTCTGTCCTGACCCATATAGAGGACAAAACTCTGTGTCTGATGGAAGCCTTATGTTAATTTTTGAGTAGTGAAAGTCATTTAGAAAGTATGCTCTTTGCATTCAGTCCAAAGATTCCTTTTAGAAGCATTTTTAAAACTTCACATTTGTTTAGTGCTGACTGACCTCCCCTTGTAATGTCAACTGAATCATGTGCCCATATCCAGGAGTACTTTTTAAAGAGAACAAAGATATGGTTATTATGCAATTCATTTTATCATCTCCTCTTAAATTTAAAAAAAAAATGGTATGGCAAATGAAATCACTTGCTCTTTCATCTGCCTCCAGTTCAATAATGCAATTTGTTACAATAATTTAGATATTTTTGTTGTTTCATAAAAGGTTTAACAATTTGAGAAAGTGACCATTCCGGTTAATATCTACTAAATGTGTTTTTTCAAATATCTGTGTTAATTTATTCAAATTTGTTATAGTCACCCAACTCTGATGGACTCTGGTTAGTATAGAAAAAATATATTAAAAAACAGACAAAACATAAAAATACAGAGATTCCTGTGTATATAGAGGAAGCCCAAATACAGAGAGGTCAAACTAAAATGATCCCAAAAACAATAGAAAGCAAACAAAATGCCCTACCCCCAAATACAATAATACATTAACCCAAGGCTCGAGACCAACACTTTTCAAAACCTCAGAGAGAATGCTCTGCCCTTTTTTCGGGGAGGGGGAGAATGCTCTTTTGGGGAAAGTTGGGGAAGAGAAGGCACGTTGGTCCTGCAAGATAACAATATTTAATAGAGGGTACCTGAAGCACATCCACTGTGAGGTGCAAAGAATCAGGAGTATTGGTTGAGTTGCATCATAGAGCATTTATTCAAGCCTAGACTTAAGAATCTGGTCGATTTAAGTTCAACACTAATTTGGTACCAGATAAGGGTCAACTGGGTCGCAGGACGCTGTAGCTCAGTGGCTAAGACTCTGAGCTTGTCGATCAGAAAGGTCGGCAGTTCAGCGGTTTGAATCCCTAGCACTGCGTAACGGAGTGAGCTCCCATTATTTGCCCCAGCTTCTGCCAACCTAGCAGTTTGAGAGCATGTAAAAATGCAAGTAGAAAAATAGGGACCACCTTTGATGGGAAGGTAACAGCGTTCCATGCGCCTTTGGCATTTAGTCATGCCGGCCACATGACCACGGAGACGTCTTTGGATAGTGCTAGCTCTTCGGCTTTGAATCAGAGATAAGCCCACCCCCTAGAGTTGGGAACGACTAGCACATATGTGCAAGGGGAACCTTTACCTTAAGGGTCAACCGAATTCAGGTGGGGCTAGACTTAGAACACTTCTGGGAATGCAGTGACTCTAAGCTGATAATGTGTTTAACTCCACCTCCCACAGCTCTGCCTGCTCTCCTCAAAATCCATTGCCAGAACATATCTGAAAAGTAGAAACCATTGAAGGGAAGGAGTCTCAGATACCCATATCCTAAGCCATATAGTGTCAACGATTGCTAATAACTAAATTGTTTTCTGAAGCGCACAAATCTACAAATCATACAAATTAATGTAAACTCCAGATTCTAGCTTTTAATAGATGAACTGATAAATTTTAGGACTTCGATCTGTGCTTACAATTGACACCACAAAGGATTATTCATTTCAGAAGACAGGTTTTTTTCTTGCTCCAAAATCAAATTATAAGGGAAAGAAATACATGGGATTGTGAAATAAATCATTTCACCCAGTTTGTTCATTCAAGCTACAAGCACTAGGAAATATTTAAGCATGATTATGTTTTTAAATAATCATTTAAAGAAAAAAATGCAATCTTAACATGTCTTTTTCCAAAAGGCAACTGAATTTTCTTGGATTTTTTTTTCCTTTGAAAAATGTTTTACATCTCCTCCAAGAAGCTTCTTTGGTTCAGTTCTTAGATAAGAACCGAAATGTTGTTTTTTTTCCCCAAAAGGAAAAAAACAAGAAAGTCCAGTTGCCGATTTGAAAAAGCACCTTTGAGACAACTACGACCTAGATGATTGAGAATCTCCATAGACATTTAGATGACAATCCCATACGTGTCCTGCTGATTTAAGAGTACTGTAAACTACCATAATATTATTGTTGATAAGTCTCATTAAAAACTGAATAATAAGTGTAGTAATTTGTTTATTTCCACTTGTATGGACTTCTGTTATTTAGCACCATGGAGCTTAATGATCATTCTTTCACCAACTAGATTTAATTTTAATTTTCTACCATGAAATTAATTCATGAACTGCATGCTGTGGATTTGCTAAAATGTTTGCTAATAGGGAAAAGTGTGTTTTTCTTTGTACAGTCTTCAGTAGGAACACAGTTTTTCAATATTATTCAGTGAGATAACAATGCCTTATCAAAATTGTTAGCAGATCTGTTATACTTGAAAGCCAGTCTGGTGTAGTGATTAAAGCATCAGGCAAGAAACCAGGACATTGCGAATTCTAGTTTTATCTTGGTATGAAGCCAACTTGGGTAGCCTTTGGCCAGTTACTTTCTCTGCATCTTAGGAAGAAGGCAATGTCAAACCACTAATGAAAAACCTTGCCAAGAAAACTGTAGGGACTTGTCCACGCAATATCTGAGAATTGGACATGATTGAATGGAAGAAAATGCTACCCTGTCATATATCTTCTGGAGAACGAAGAAAATGTTCACGTGTACTAATGATAGCATTAAGAAAGGAAAATTGTGCTGATGTGGGCGTTTGCAGAATTGTTGCTGTTGTGAACAATCACTAATAATCATGATCTGAAAAGTATTGATATGACATGTGTGAGGGTTTTTCCCCCCACAGGAAGACGTTGACAAAGCTGTTAAAGCAGCAAGGAAAGCATTTGAGTTTGGATCCTCCTGGAGGACAGCAGATGCTTCAGAAAGGGGCAGACTGTTGAGCAAACTAGCAGATTTAATTGAAAGAGACTCTCTACTCTTGGCTGTAAGTCTAATATGCTGACTCTTAAGCAAACCTATCTTTTTAAGATGAGATTCTTTTGATGCCTTTGAATAACTCCAGTGAAATGATATAGTCTTGTTTTGAAAGAATTTAACCAACCAAAAGTCATAGTTCATTAGAAAAACCCACATGGTTTCCTTGTCAGAAAAGCTGGCCTATTGTGTTCAGCCAGTTATACAAGATAGATTAACATCTCCCTTGTCTTTCTTAAGCAAGAGAGAAAAGTGACCCAGTGTGATAAGGTAACATTTCATCACTGCTACTGAAGAAAAATAATGAAGTGAAGAGGGCACCAGTTAATGCTCCTAGCATTAATTTGAAAACCAAGTTGTACCGAGGAGAGTCTCCAAATTTCTCCTTTAGGTCAACCACAATTTTAGAAGAATGTTCAAAGTACAAGAATGTTGGATTTGTTTTGCTGCTTTCCTGCACAAGCCCATCTAATTTGACACTGTTCACCCCAGAACTTGAGAACGAAAAGTTGAATCTTTGGTTCAAAGCCTTAATCTTTTTTTTTTAAATCAACTATGCAGAGATTATCATCTCTCAAACAACGAGGAAAAAATGGAGCAATTGAATGAATTCATTGACTTATTTCAAAGAACGTGGGTGTATTCCAGATAAAAGAATGAAAATGGTTGTGGAACCCATCCCAATGGGTTTAACCATTTCTTTTCCATTATTTGCTTATCCCACAAAACCAAATTTGTGAATATAAAATACCCTGTTTCCCTGAAAATAAGACCTCCCCAGATAATAAGCCCAATTGAGCTTTTGAGCGCATGAGCTAAAATAAGACTTCCCAAAAAATATTGCAACACACTAGCAGCCATGAGGTGACCACGCTCACCGCCTCCTGCACCTCAAAAATAATAAGACCTCCCCGAAAATAAGACCAAGTGCTTATTTAGGGGGTGAAAAGAAAATTAGACCCTGTCTTATTTTCAGGGAAGCATGGTAAATATATTCATTCGGCATGGTAAATATATTCATTCAGAAAGGACTGCGAAATAACATTTTCCACACCAGCAAATTCAAGCAATATTGAATGGAGGGGCTATTAGAGAATGTCTATGTGTGATTTTTTTTAAAAAATAAATACATTCATAGTTTACTTAAACTTTGGAAGCAGTCATTTGAAAAATCTGTTACACAGTCTTGACAGCTAAACTGTCATATCTAACTAAAGTGAATGAATAACCTAATGTACCGGTAGTAGTCTAAAAATGTGATAGAGGATTATGTCCTGGGGCTTAGTTAAAAATGCAAATTCTTTTCCTTTTTCCATAGAGTGAATTCCATTCTAGAAATAGTACTGGCAACATCTTCGAGCAAAATGATACAGCAAAAGCCAAGCAAGGAGTTTGTTGGCTGGCTGCTGTCTTCTCTGAGATTAAACAAGTCCATTCTACAGCAAATACATGCTGATGACCACTATTCTTTGAGACAAATATCAGTTAGATCAGTGGTCTCCAACCTTGGCAACTTTAAGACTTGTGGACTTCAACTCCCAGAGTTCCTCATCGTTAGTCTCCAACCTTGGCAACTTTAAGACTTGTGGACTTCAACTCCCAGAGTTCCTCAGCCAGCAAAGCAAAGCTGGCTGAGGAACTCTGGGAGTTGAAGTCCACAGGTCTTAAAGATGCCAAGGTTGGAGACCACTCAGTTAGATAACTATCCTCAAAACAGCCACTCTAGAATTATTTCTCGGAAACCTCTCAAAGCTGCCGATTCAGTTCGATCTATACATTTCTGCAACATGATCATAATGCTCAGTTGCTTGTTCTGTCCCCTACTGAAGATAATCTTACTATCCCAATCCCATTCTTAAATCATCATGACCTAGTTACTGCAGTTCTTAATAAACCAGTGTTAAAGACAGTTACATTCTTTCATTTATCTACAATGACTAATTTTTTTAAGCCCTTCTTTGTTTCAGACAATGGAGAGTCTTAATGGGGGAAAGGTTTTTTCACACGCCTACCTAATGGACTTGGGTGGTTGTATCAACACTTTGCGTTACTTTGCTGGCTGGGCTGATAAAATCCAAGGACGTACCATCCCCATGGGTGAGTCACTCTGGACAAAGGTGTCCATGAGATAAAGTTGGTTTAATGTGAATTAAAAGAAGCTTTGAGCAAAAGAACTTTTTCATCTGAGAAAAATGCATCCTTTAGAAATCTGTTA